TTATTATTATTTATTTTCAGAATTTTTGATCGAAGAATTGTCAATTTTATAAATAATTTTATTATTTATTAGTGTAAATGTAAATTTTCAGAATTTACGACAGAGATTTTATAAATTTTATATTTTAAATAATAGTGTAATTGATTTTGTGGCTTTTGAACGAAAGGCCACAAAATTAATTACACTATTATTTTGAAATTGAGGTTCTTGAAAATTAATAATAATTATTATTTTGTTAATTAAAACCTTCGGGTTGTAAAATTGTGAAATTACTTTCTTATAAATTCTGTCTCTAATATTTCAAATCGATATATTATTTTCAATTACATAAAAATAAAAAATTTTCGCATTTCCAATTTGAAAAGCGAAAAAATTAAATTTCTCTAAAGTTATTTATAATTATAATAATTGGGAATTTCAATAAAATAAATTACAATTTACAAAAATAAATTTTTGTATTTAGAAGAACTATTTATAAATAATAATGAAAAAAGTTTTTTTTCAATTTAATAAAGAAAAAAAATCTTGATCTTAAAAATTTTTCCGTATTCTTTATTGTGGGTTTTAGTGCAAAAATGAACTTTGAAAATCATTCACTTGGAGAATTTAAAAAAAAAGATGTAGAAGAATAGAAAAACGTAATCTGCGATAAATTTTATTGTTTAGCTTCTCGTCTTTTCAATAACTGTGTGTAAAAGAAAATTGAATTATCCGTTATGCCATAGTGTGTCACACTAAGGACGATAAAATTCTTCATATAGGGTTTTGGCTCATAAAAAAATTCAAAACACGTATCTTCAAAAAGCAATTTCTTTCGCCTACAAGTTTTTTTTTCTCAAAAATATTTATTTTTCATTATATATTTATTTCAGCAAAAAAAAAAAATGGAAAGAAATTTTGTTAGTATAAAAAAATTGCTAATTTCAGTAGGAAAAAAATTACACACGTAAAATTATTTTTACACTATATACGGAATAAATTAAAAAATTTTTCCCAAAGAGAGTAAATAAACTGTAATTATTATCTTTTCTTTTTCATAAAATTATTGAATTTAGAGTTTCATTAATTTTCGAATAATTTCAATTTTTCGAAAGAAATTATTTAAATAAAAATTTTTCAATAAGTCAAATATAATTTATTTTTATTAAATAAGAACAAATATCGAAATTTGATTGGCTAAATAATCGTCTATAGTATTTTATTAATTTTTTTTTCTATTTTTTTTTATTTTCCATTTTTTCTATTAATTTTTTGTTTTGTTTTGTTTTGATATTTCTATTTGTTCCAATTTCTTTCAGATTTATTTACAGCTCTCCCGTTTTACGAAACTTGATTATTTTTTTTTATCTTCACTTTATCTTCGCGTTCAGTATATTTATTTCATTGTTTGATTTCTATTTTTTTCTTTTAGGAGAAGGAGAAAATGAGAGGGTTTTATATACGTATTAGAGAACAAACGATAACTTGCGAAAACATTTCCAGAGAGAAACTTTATGTACAACATATATACTTTATATATATATATAATAAATATATAATCATTTTTAAGTAGATGATGATAATTCCGCATGCATACATAATATTCATCAGATCGCTTATGATTTTTGAAGCGATAAAAATGAAGAACAAATTTTTTTTTCCAGTATAACAATATTTATGTAATAACATCGAAAAGCGCAGAATGCTATAATGATAGATTTTAAATATGACTCGACCATTTTGCATTTAAAAGCGTCGAAAGATCCCCTTACCAAAATTCTCTTTTTTCTTATAATACTTTTTGTTGAATTTTTTTTTCCCTATTTACTAGATAATATTTAGCCGGATTTAGGAAATTTTCTTTTTTTTTATTATCCGGTATGATTTTTTTTTTTGAATTATTATTTTATGACGAAGCATTTACATAATGATTTCTTTTTTGTAAATTTATTTTTTGTTTATAATTCGTAACATGTTTGTAATTTTTTTTCAATTATTCTTTTGCAAGATTTCTTTCGAGGGCAATTTTTTTTTTAAGGAAACAGACAATACTTCGTCTTTTTGAAACAATAAATTAATCATCAGTTGGGATACATTATTCAGGTTTTTTTTTATTATTTTTACATTTTTTTACTTCTTTTGGAAATATTTAAAATGTGAATTTTTTTGTACTCGATTTTGTTTTTTAATGCATTTTGTAAATGTGATTTAATTTTTATCTTTTACAATATTTTAATCGAAATAATTATTAATTATTATTAGTTTCCTTTCTAGAAATTTTCATTTAATTTAATGGGCTTGTCCCGTTTATAAATAAATAATTTAAATAAATTTTGAATAGAATTTTTTTTTATTAATTTATTTATATTATATGATAGTTATTATTATAATTACTATAATAATTATAATTTTTTTTATTTTCAAGAAATATTATAATTATAATCGTAATTATAATTATTGACTATAATAAAAAATTTATTTAAATTAATCAAATTCTTTATAATTGAAATTGAAATAATTAAAATTTCCAATTTTTCATTTAAATTAAAAAAATGATTTCAAAATAAGATTTGTTTTAGTAGAAATAAAATTTCTGAATAAAAAATTTTCTTTGTATTATCACAGAATAAAATGTTCCAAACTGTGAATTTTAATTGAATTTGAATATTATATCAGTTTGATCGAGAATTCGTTGAAAATTTTTTCCGTGCATGGCTAGTGCACAAATTTTGTCAAAATTACTTTTCTTTTTTGTCTCATTAATTTTCTATTCATAGTTCAGTTGAAATATTTCCATTTCGTAACATGAAAGAATTCTCAATTGTTCGCATATTTTTTTTTACATTATTTGTATTTAAGTTCATAATTTAAGCAAAAAATGTGCTTAACATTTTTCTACTTGATGCAAAAATATTTTATTTTCATAAAATAGCAAAGTATATTTAACAATATTCTTATTCTTGTATATGTAAAAAGAATCTATTACTTTCTTGCAATTAATTTTTCTTCTTCTTTTATTTATTTATTTAGTTATTTTTATACAATTTTTTTTATTGACTGACAGAAATATTTTAACTACGGAAATAATTTTTTTTTATTTTTTTAATTTTTAAAAGTCAAATTCAATTTATAAAATAAAAATTAAGTTTCAAAATTTATATATTTTATATAAAATAAAAATTAAGATATAATTAGAATTCAATTTTTAAAATGCAAAATTTATTTTTAGAAATTATTGGCTGAAAAATACTTTGTGGTAATTAAAATTACATTAACTTTATTACATTTTTTTGTAAATTCCTTTATATCATCAATTTTCAGGGATTATTATATGAACGTTTGATTGAAAAATACTTTGCCTTAATTTAAAAACGATTAATTAATTTCGAATTTTAATTTAGTTTATTTTTAGGTTTAATAATGAATCATTGACGGAAATGAAAGTGTGACATGCACATTTTTTTTCTTTCTACTTTTTTGAAGACTCCAAATTACTTGACCTGTTTTAACATTTTTTTTCACTTTGTCAACATTGTCATTAAAAAAAATTCTTTTTATAAAATTTTGTGAAAAGAATAAATTTTAATCTTCACAAGTCACAATGATAGATGCAAAAATTTTTATTGATTTCAATTCAAGAAAATAGGAAATTTTCGATATATAAATATTTTTTTTTTATATTAATTTCAGTCAATTTTTTCCTCGAGTGAAAATTTCAAAAGTGCGCTGGAACTTTTTTTTGTCAAAAAAGATTATTTATTATTATTATTTATAATTTAAAAAATGCGTATTTTCTAAATTTTTTTTTTTGGTGCAATTATTTTCATCGTTTTTATTATTTTATTTTCAAATATGTGGTATGTTAATTATTTTATATATGAAGAATATATATATTTTTTATATAATATATATTACATCAATATGACACTCGGAAAAGATTTTTTTTCTTCTTTTTTGTTAAATATTCCGTGTGACATGTTGAAAAATGGAATTATTAAAAAAATTCACCCACATTTTTTATTTTTATTCACTCCTTTTTTTGTAATGAAAAGCGTTATCTTCTGATTTTTTTTAAAGTTTAAGATAACTCCTTTATTTGTTTATATGTTTTTCAATGATGCGTTTAAATTTGTTTTTTATTTTTGCAAAAAATTTCTTAAAATAATTTTTATCAATTATTTTAAACAGATTTGAATTTCGGAAGAAAATTTTAAATAACAAAAAGATATTTAAATTTATTAATTTTTTGAAAGTAGATGACATATTGGTAACTTTTTGAAACTCACACTTTTTTTCATATCAATATTAAAATTTTTTTAAAATTTAATTTGGATTATTTATATTTTTTGCGATTTCCAATTTTTCGATTAAATTTTGATTCACTTTATGTTTTTTTTATTTTTTGTTTCAATTTTTTTAATTCAATTTAAATTATTATTAATATTTTTCAATTTTTTCATATTCAATTTGAATTATTTATGCAGTTGAATTCGAATCTAATATTTTAAATTTGCATTTTTTTAGTTCAATTTTAATTGTACTTCTTTTTAATCATTTTTAGTGTTGAGAATAAAAATAGTTGCTTTTATTTGATTGAAGAAATGTATTTGTTCGAAAAACATTTTTTTTTATAAAATGCATTTGTTTCAGTTAATCGATTACTTGACTTTTATCAATCATTTACTTAAATCAAAAAATATTTCTTGGAATGAAAAAATAAATTGTAGATTTAAATCAATTTTAATTTTTCTATTTAAAACAAATATGTTGTTTTAATTATTTTTTTGATACAAATTAAATTTTTTGACACAAGTAAATATTGATTTTGATACAAGTTAATATTTATTTTGATACAAGTAAATATTTATTTTGACACAAGTAAATATTTTTTTGATACAAGTACCTAAAAATTTTTTTATACAAATAAATATTTTTTTGTTACAATTTGTAAATATTTTTTATGCAAATAAATACTTCTCTGTTACAAGTAAATATTTTTTTTACAAGTAAACCTTTTGTTTTGCTACTAGTAAATATTTTTTCGTTGCCAATAAACATTAATATTATAATAGCCAAAATTAAAAAAAAAAATTATTTAAATGAACAAAATTTTTTTTCTCGGTACATAAACTTGGTTAAGGGGATTTTTAGCATTCTCAATTAATAAATATCCGACTTCTTAGTATTTTGATTGAACCATATAATTAATTTCATGTAAAACTCAAATATCAAGGAAGCTATATTATAAATATTATTCTATTTCTCCTTTATCTTCATTAATCTTTATGATAATAATTGAATGTCTCAAGTTTATATATCCTAAGGTCATAATCAATAATTTACCTTGTTCATAAGTTACATTTTTTCTTATTATTTAACATAATAAGCTAAATTAAAACGCAAAAAGTATTTTCGCAAAAATTAATTATTTTCCATAAAAATCACAGAGTAAATTTCTTTTTTGATTTAAATAAAGAAATAAATAAACAAAAATTAAAATTAATTAAATGGTTTTTAATTCGAAAATTGTTTCCGTCACTTTTTTATTTGGCGAATTCTTCTTTCATTCTGAATATTTTTTGTTTTTAATTTTCTCTGTTAAAAATAAATTTTGTCTCTTTTGGTAAATTTAATAAAACATCGATCAATTGAAACAGAATTTTTATTTTCATTTCATCATTAGGCGTAACATTTTTCAATTTTAATCAAATTAATTTTTTTTATTCCGATCTTATTTTAATTTTATCATCAGACGCAACATTTTTCAATTTTAATGTAATTATTTTTTTTTTGAATTCGATTTTATCATTAGGCGCAGCATTTTTGAATTTTTAATGTAATTAATTTTTTTTCCCATTTTGACTTTTTAATTAGACGTAACAATTTCGAATTTTAATTTAATTCATTATTTTTATTCTAATTGTATAAATAGACATTTTCGAATTTTAGTTTAGTTAATTAAATGTTGTGTTTACTTGATTTATATGTAAATAAATAAATAAATTAATTAAACAATTTTTTTAAATGTAAAAGAAAAATTTGTTTGAAGAGAAACTTCTAAATATTACACAGAGATGATTAAAAGTGCACTGGAAAAATAGTAAAATGAAAAAAATTAAACATATTAGAAAATAAAATTAAAATTTTTTTTTTTTGTGAAGAAAATGAAGATAAAGGATTTGGACAAAAATATATATTATTAAAAATTGATTCAAGGGTCAAGAAAATTGTGAACACTTAATTAAGATTTGCAAAAAATTGTCGAGGATGCCAAATCCTGAATTTACTCTAATCAGACTTTTATTGGCGGCTTCGAGTGGGTGAATCTCATAGGCGCCGCGTCATTATCAATATCGCACGCTAAGGAAATTGCTCCTTCTATATATCTCAGTTCATCTCAATAATCAGTGAATCTACAATCAGACTCGAATTTCTTTTTTTTAAATTTATTCTCTTTTTTTTCTCATCTAAATACTTGTGTTTGTATATATATATATATTTTTTTTATTGTATTAATAATAATAAATTATGGATGGAGACCATTCGTCGGTTCTCGAAAAAAAAAAATTTTTTTTGCCTCTTTGTTGAAAAATAACAAAGAGTGACCGAACGAAAGATGAAAAACAGGAAAAATTAAAAAGATTATTATGCACTAAAGAGACTTTTTTTTTGGTGATAAAATTGAATGTGATTTTTGTATTTTATTTATTTATTTTATTTTTTTTTTGGTTTTCTTTGTTATGATGAAATGATGGATAAAAGAGCTTATTGCATTATAAACTGGACTTTAAATGATGGTTCCTGCGTCAAAGATTTATTTTTTTTCCCTCGTCTCGCACAGGAATCATCCACAGAATTTTAGAATGATGCCAAAGTTGTCTAACGTCGTTTGCCAAAACGTAGAAATACGTGATCAACGTCCTGACGTTTAACACCACTGTCGGGCAAAGGAACAGTCTCGTGAAGAACTGAAACTGAAAAAATTAATCAAAAATAGTTGTACGACTTACCGTGATTGATAATCCTGTAGATATTGTGATTTTGCTGAAATTTTACAAAAAGAAAAAAATTTCTCTATTATTTCAATTCGTATTTTGTTTCATATATTTTTTTTTCATGCAATTTCGTTTATTTTTTTTTTCATTTATAATTTTTATTTCAAATTTCTTAAATTTTATAATTTTTAATCCTTTATCAAAAAACTTAATAGAAATAATGTCAAATGGAATATTTTAATATTTTCCAATTATTCGTCTTTTTAATAATTGCCCCTAAAATTTCGAACGTTCAAATGAAAAACAATATCTATATTCATTATTTTTAGTTTTATTTTTTAATTTTATTTTTTATTTATTTTAGATTTTTATTAATTTTACTTTTTTAATCATATCTTAGTTTTTTTGATTATTTTTTATTCTTTTAATTTTTTATTTTACTTACAAAATATTATTTTTTATATATTGAAAAAAACAGTTTTTAATAAAATAAATATTTAATTACAATAATCATCATTTTTTAGTCTAGTAATTTTTAAAAAAACATTAGAGCACGAAAAAAATTTGGGTTCATTTGAACGTTGAAAAATTGAGGAAAAAAATAATTAACGAAACTCGAAATAAAATTATATTTTTTATTGCTTTCAGTAAAAATAAAGGAGAGAAAACTTGAAGATTTTCTCAGATAAATTTGCATAATTTTGTTTTGTTATTTTAAAAAAATACTCAAAGTGCCCATTTTCTTTTGACTTTTTATTTCTTGCATTAATTAAACGATTATCTAATTAACAGTTATATTTTTTTTTCTCCAACAAATGATGCGTATTAAGAAAATTGTTTCACGTCTCTTTTTTCTAATCTGATTTTTGTTTCAGACAAAAAAAAGTTTTTTATTCTCAAAAAATTATGGAAAACTATTTTAAAAAAATATTTTATTCTCTTTAATTTTATTTTAACTCCATAATTTCAGAATTAAAAAAAATTTTGTATATTTTTAGAATTTTACCTAAATTATTTCTCAAGATGGGACATTTTTTAAATAATAAATTCTTTAAAAGTTGCGATTTCAAAATTTTAATTAAAATGTATAAGACATTTTTTTTAATAAAGTGTTGCAAAAGAAAATAAATAAAATACAATTATTTTATAATAATTTAATATTAAATAAGAAATTGAGTAAAATACCTATTTTTGGGAATAATTATAAATAAATTATTTTCACAAAAACAAATTTGTAACTTTTTTTGAAATAATTCACTAAAAAAATGTATGTTCCAAAATTTAGGTGAAAAATTTCTTCCAATGAAATGTATATATAAAAATGAAATAAATATAGTAATAATTTAATAATAAACATAAAAATGAACAATAAAATAAATAAAATATCAATTTTTATAAATGATTAGATTTATAAACAAATTGTTGAAAAAAAATACAGAATTGCAGTTTTTTTGAAATATTTTATCAAAAAAAAACTGTTCTAAAATTGAAGTAAAAAACTCTCTTTTCAGTAAAATGCGCAAGAAGAAATGAATAAAATAAAGAGTAGAAATAAATAGGTAAATTAATTTAAATTAAATTAATATAATTGAAATATAGTTAAAATATAATTAATAAGAACATTATAATTATAAATATAATTACTTAATTAAAATTTAAAATTCCTCTTTTTTGAATATTTATAAACAAATTGTCTTCAAAAGAAAAAGAAAAAAATTAACGACAGTTTCAGTTTACTTTTATTGTTACAAGCAAAATTTCCGTATACAATAAGTAAGCCAGGACACGCGGAACTTTTGACTGTAATAAAAAAAGTTATATGAAAGATTTCTCTTTTACTTTTCTTCGTATAATAAATTTCAAGGTCCAAATAATAAGAGAAAAAAAAGAAAATTGTCGAAAATAAATTCCTCAGCTCTCTTCCGTCAATAAGATTCGAAATTAGACGCATCGAAAAAGTTAATTACATTTTTTTTTGATATTTTTTTCTTCTCTCTTTCTCTCTAATATATATAGGCATTTTCTTGTCATTCAATCGTCAAAGTACGTAGAGTACGCAAGTAACCAATTTCTTCTGTAAACTCATACCTGGCAGTTACAATAACCTATTCAATAAATTTTCAATGTGATTGAATTTCAATCGGAGGAAAAAGTAATTTTAAATTCTCAAAAGACGGTATTGAGAGAAAAACTTATTTTCTTTACCTAATTATTTTATTAAACTTTGAAACATTTCGAAAATTTTTCATTTCAAATAATTTTTGAAATTTGAAATTCGAATTTTTCTAATGTTTTGAAAATCAATTGGCTTATGATAATTCTCAATTAATAATTTTTAATTTATAATTATAATTTATTAGTTTTAGAATTATTATATATATATATACTATAAATTATTAATAATTATATTTGTTACCCTGTAATTTATATTGTTTGTCTATTTATTTATTAACAGTACCCGCAGTATGTCAAAATATAATCTAATTATTTAACAATAATTTTCTTCATTTCTTTTACAAGTTCAATTATTTTTGATACAATTTTTAAAAAAATTTTTTTTCTTCGAAAAATTTCAATTATTTTCAAAAGTTTAAAAAAAAATTCTAGTCAAGATTTCAATTATATTTATAAATAGCAAAATTCTTCGCCGAAGTTCAATTATTTTTTGAAAAATTTTAATAAAATTCATGACAAAATTTTAATTATTTTCAAAAATTTTTCTTAATTCAATGATTTTCAATATCTACAAGCTATTTTAATAAAATTTTCCAAAAAAATTCAATTATTAAACAAAAATTTTGATAAAATTCTACACGAACATTGAATTATTTTCTAAAATAATAAAAATTTCACAGGAATTAAATTATTGAAAATTGAATTTGTATAAATTTTTTCGAAAAAAAACTATTGTTTACAATTTTTTTATATAAAATTCTTCAGAATAATTCAATTATTTTCATAAAGAATAAAACTCATAACAGAATTTAAATTATTTTCAGTACAATTTTAATTGAATTCCTCAAAAGAATTCAATTAATTAAAAATTTGTTGATAAAATTCTTTATAAGAATTCAATTTTATGAAACATTCAATTATTCATTAAATTATTTGTTTTTGTATTAAGTATCTATGTAATTTAATTCTCGTAGAATTTACTAACAAAAATTGATTAAAACATTAATTTAGCTGCTAAAGTTTTCGATAATTTATTGATTTTTGCAGATATTTACTTTTTTCTTATCCTGCTAGTAAATTAAATTCCTGCTACGAATTTTATTATTCATGAAAGAATTTAAAATATATTTGTAAAAAATAATTTAATTTTTGCGAAGAATTTTATAAAATTTTTTAAATAATTCATTTCTTTCAAATAATTTTATGTAAATTCTAATTTTTATTATTCATGAAAAGAATTGAATTCTTACGAAAATTTTTACAAACCATTTTTAAATAATTAAATTCTGTTTGGAAATTTTATGAAAATAGTAGATATTGAAAATCATTGAATTGCGAAAAGTTTTTAAAGATAATTAAATTTTATAAAGAATTCTATTAAAAAATTTGTCAATAATTGAATGTCTGTGGGAAATTTTATTTAATTTTTTTGAAAATAATTGAATTCCTAATAATAATTTTATTATTTATGAAAATAATTTAATTCTTTCGAACGATTTATTAGAATTTTTTAAAATAATGGAATTTCCAAGAAGAAATTTATCACTTTTAAAAATAATTGAATTATTGTGATGAATATTGTTATTTATGAAAATAATTGAATTTTGAAAAGAATTTGATTAAAATACCTCAAAATAATTGAATTTTCGGGAGTAATTTTCTTATTTATCGAATAAATTATTTGAATTATTTCAAAAAAATTAAATTAAATTAAATTAAAATTTTATTTAAAACAATTAATTTCTTTAGAATAATTTTATTAAATTTTTAAAAATAATTATTCAATCTTTCCAAAAAATATTTACAAAACATTTTTTTAAATAATTGATTTTTTCGAGGAATTGAAATTAAGTTTTGAAGAATAATTACATTTTTTTGAGCAATTCCTGTAAAATTGTATTAAAAGTAATTGAAATCCTGCTATGAATTACATTATTTATGAAAATAATTGAATAGTTGCTAGGAATTTTATTATAATTCTCAAAAATAATTGAATTACAGAGAAGAATTTTATTAATTTTGAAAATAATTGAATTATTGCGGAAAAGTTTATTAAATTGTTTAAAAAGAATGGAATTTCTGTGGAAAATTTTATTATTTTTGAAAGTAATTGAATTCTTCTTAAGAGTTTTATGAACATTGTTTTAAATAATTAATTTCTTCGAAATATAATAAATATTATAAAAATTTTATTAGTTTAAATAATTGAATTCTTGTGGAAAACTTTATTTGTGAAAATAACTGAATTTTTCGATTATTAATTTAAAATAGTAATAATTGAAATTCTTCGATAAGTTTTATTATTTATAAAAATAATTCAATTAATGCTTAGAATTTAAGCAAAAATTTTTGTAAAAAAATTTAATTTCCATGAAAAATTTTATTATTAGTGAAAGTAATTGAATTATTGAGAAAAATAAATTACATAAAATTTTGTTAAATAATTGATTTTTTTCGAGATTTTTTTGAAAATTAGCGAATTAAAAATAGTGGAAATTCTCTAAATAAAATATTATTTATATTCTTTGTTCAGAAAGTTGAATATATAATAATTTTTTTACCTCCTCAATTCTTCAGAATAATTAAAATTTTCGTAATGAAGATTATTTTCAATTTAGATATATCAAATAACAATTTTTGCGAAATTCAATTTTCCTCGTACAAGAAAGTTTAATTATTTTCAATTTTGAAAATTTGATGTCAAATTTGAAATTAGAACCAAAATTTGTTAAAGTTTTTTTTTATATACTTTAAAGTTTTAAAATAATATAAATTGAAAATTCAATTCTAATTAGTTATGTTAATATTTCATTAAAATAATTCCAAGTAAACCAAAGAGAAAGAAAATTAAAATATCTAAAAGAAAATAATGAAGAATATAGAAGAAATAAAAATAAAGGATTAGAAATTATTATAATGAATAGATAATTATTTTTCCAAAGTAAATTTCAATATTTCTAAAAGCATCTTCGAGTCTCTTTAATCATACATGAAAATATACTCTACGCATGTTATAAGAAGATATATATGTATATTAATGGGAAGTTTATTTGAAAAATTTGAAACTTGTTTATAAGAAATGTATGAAGTTGATGCATAAATTTACCTTTATCCTCGATGTAGTTTTCCATCGCAGTTCCTAGTTCATATAATGTGGATAGAGCTGCGCAAACTTTACGAATCCTTGGTGGAATTTCATCTAAAAATCCAGGACTGCATTGTGCCGGAGGCATGCCGAATACTTCACCTGAGAAAACTATGACAATTGTTGCCGAAGCCAAGAGTAGAACTGCATTATTATATTTCATGTCTGAAACAAAAAGGAAAAAAGTACAAAAAAAAATTTTTTTTATTTTCCAGAAAAAATGTTTACGCAATTATTTTATCATTTATTATTTACTAGCTGTCACTTCGATGGGAATAATATTGAGATTTTTAAAATTTTGAAATTTACAATTACACCCAGTATTTATTAAATTATACCTACACAAATTTTTATATTAATTTATTTAATGAAAAAAATGAAACATTTGCATTTTTTCGAATTTGTTTTGTCATTTTCCAGTTTAAAAAATTTTTTTTTCTTTTATATTAAGAATCATAAAGATAAATGTTCCTTTGTGAATTAGTAATAAAATATTTTTGTCTCATTTCCATTCAAAGAGAAAATGTGCTTCTCAGAGCGAAATAATTTTTTTTGATAAAAGGAAAATATTTTTATTTGTTAAAAAAAATTTTATTTGTCAAGAATTTTATTTGTTTAAGAAAAAATTTGTTCGCTATAAATTTCACTTGTTCTTGACATTTTATTTGTTAAAAAATAATTTTATTTGTTATAACAAATTCACAAATAACAAAAAAGTTTTTGCTTTCATTTAAGAATAATAATTAAAAGTTTTCCTTTGTTTTCCTTTGGATATAAAGTTTGTCTCAGTGATGTAAAAAATATTTTTTCAAGTTAATTGCATTGGTTAAAAAATTCTATTTGATTCAAATAAATTTTATTTTCTAAAGAGAATTTTAATTAAACAAAACTTTATTTGTTAAAAATATTTATTTACTTATTTTCAACGGTATACATTTTTATACAATTTTATACAGTATACATTTTTTATACAATTTAGAAAATTAAAATTTGAATAAAAAAAATATTTGTTTATTTTTCTTCTGCAAGCAAAAAGAAATAAAATTTAATATTTCGTTGTTTAATAAAAAAAAAAAAAAAAAACAGTTGAAAAATGAAGAAATAAATGTATATTAAGAAAACTTGGAGAAGAGAGGTTGAGTTAATATGTGTCCCTTTGGACTAAACGATTTACTATCCACAATACACTTCAGTGGTAAAAAAAATGACTTGAGAAAAAAAGGTGTCACGTAAAACCATCTTAATGAATTAATATTATAAGGTTCTTATATCCTCCACTTTTTTTGTCTGTTAATTAGTCTATTTATTTTCACAGAAAAATTGAAGAGACATAAGAAAAACATACTGTGCACCCTTCTGAATGAGTTTAAAAAGTCCCCATACTTTAAACAAAAATGGAATAACACAAAAGGCTCTTATCGATAATCATCAAAGAAAAATTCTCTTCTCCTGTTTTCTTTTACATTATGAACATTCGCATAACATATAAGTGTAAACATGAAAAATAAACTTCTTCATATAGATACAGAAATTTAATACAAATAAAAATTCTACACACCACCCTCTGTGAAGTGTTGGCAACTATTAATTTTCCATAAAGAGTACAAATATTACCCTTCGAAAATATATTTATGGCGAATGTGAAAAAAATTTATTTCTTTCCAAATAATAATCTTTTGCTTGCGATTATTATCAAGTGAATATTAATTTCAAACAATTCATTTTTATTTTGAACAAATAATTCTTATTTTAAACAAAAGACATTTACTTAAAGACTTAAACAAATAAACATATTTTATAATATGAAATAAAATACGAAATAAATTTTCGTTTTCAACAAAATTATTTTTAATTTAAATACAAAATTTTATTTTAAACAAAAACATTTAAATTAAAAAAATACATAATTTTTTATTTTCAACAAATAAGTTTTATTTAAACTTTAAACAAATAATTTTCGTTTTCAACAAATTATTCTTAATTTAAACAAATAGTTTTTGTTTTCAACAAATTATTCTTAATTTAAACAAATAATTTTTATTTCAAATAAATTCTTAATTTAAACAAATAATTTTTATTTCAAATAAATTCTTAATTTAAACAAACAATCTTCATTTTCGACAAATAATTTTCGTTTTCGACAAACTATTCTTTACTTAATTTAATTAAATATTTATTTTCAACAAAAAAATTTAATTTTTAAACAAATAATTTTCATTTTTAACAAATAATTTTTTATTAAAAGAAACAATAATTATTTTAAACAAAAAACTTTAAATTTAAACAAAGTTTTTGTTTTTAACAAATTATTCTTAATTTAAACAAATAATTTTTATTTTTTACAAATAATTTTTAATTAAAAGAAACAATAATTATTTTAAATAAAAAACTTTAAATTTAAACAAATAGTTTTTGTTTCAGCAAATTATTCATAATTTAAACTAATAATTTTCATTTTCATATAAGTAATTTTTAATTTAAACAAATCCTACTATTCGTTTTCATCAAATTATTCTTAATGTAAACAATAAAATTTTTATTTTCAACAAATAAGTTTTATTTAAACTTTAAACAAATAATTTTCGTTTTCAACAAATTATTCTTAATTTAAACAAATAGTTTTTTTTTTCAACAAATTATTCTTAATTTAAACAAATAATTTTTATTTCAAATAAATTCTTAATTTAAACAAACAATCTTCATTTTCGACAAATAATTTTCGTTTTCAACAAACTATTCTTTACTTAATTTAATTAAATATTTATTTTCAACAAAAAATTTTATTTTTCAACAAATAATTTTCATTTTTAACAAATAATTTTTTATTAAAAGAAACAATAATTATTTTAAACAAAAAACTTTAAATTTAAACAAAGTTTTTGTTTTTAACAAATTATTCTTAATTTAAACAAATAATCTTCATTTTCAACAAATTATTCTTAATTTAAACAAATAGTTTTTGTTTTCAACAAATTATTCTTAATTTAAACAAATAATTTTTATTTCTAATAAACAATTCTTAATTTAAACAAAGAATCTTCATTTTCGAAAATTAAGTTTTGTTTTTAACAAACTATTCCTTACTTAATTTAAATAAATATTTATTTTCAACCAAAAAATTTTATTTTCCAACAGATAATTTTCATTTTTAACAAATAATTTTTAATTAAAAGAAACAATAATTATTTTAAACAAAAAACTTTAAATTTAAACAAATAGTTTTTGTTTTCAACAAATTATTCTTAATTAGACAAATAATTTTCGTTTTCAACAAATTATTCCTAATTAAAACAACACTAATTTTCATTTTAAATAAATAATTTTTATGTTAATCAAAAAAATTTTAATTTTAACAAATAATTTTTATGTTAATCAAAAAAATTTAAATTTTAACAAATAATTTTTTTGTTAATCAAAAAAATTTAAATTTTAACAAATAATTTTTATGTTAATCAAAAAAATTTTAATTTTAACAAATAATTTTTATTCATTATAAATTTCTTTTTAATCAAATAATTCTTACTAATCAGATTTTAATGAATATATATTACTTGATATACAAAAAAAATTATTTATTAGGTAAAAAACAAAGTAATTAATTACATCTTCTATACTTAAAACAATTTTTTTTTATAAAACTCGAATAAAAATTGCTTGATATAAATAAAAAGTTATTTGGTAACAATAATCAGGTAATCTATTATTCTTTCATCAAACCATTATTTTTGAATTAAACTCAAATGAATATTCTTTGCGTTACAAAAAAATATGTAGTTATATAGGCGAGCAATTAATTATTTTTGACGTAAAATAAATTTCCTATTAAAATAAAATAGATGAAAAATTACTTGACACAAACAAATATATTTATTTACTACAGATAATAATCAATGCATTATTTTTGAATCAGAAAAATTTTTTTTAATAAAACTTTGTGAATAAATAAATGATTTCGGTTTTTCAGTTGGAAAAAAGTTGGAAAATTAATTTAGCATAAAAATTATGTTCACTTTCGACTAATTTATTATTAATTTAATTAAATTAAATTAAAGTAAAATAAATTAATCAATTTAATGAGAATTCAAAAACATTTTGAATTGATAAAAATACGATTAAATTTACTCGTCAAGAAGAGAATAATTTGATTAAATTTATTTTTTTACGATATTTTTATATACAGTGTTAATATAGTTTTTTAATCTCGAAGAATATTGCTGCGAACGAGAAAACCTTCCGCTCTCTGATGAGTAAAATTATTAATTTAATTAAAAAGAAAATAGAATTCAATTATGTAGAAAATTTACACATCTCGTTAGTTATTTTTTCTTGTTTTTTTTTTAATATTTCTATTAATATCTAAAAATACCAATTTTATATTTTCTGTACAAAAAATTAATTTTTCCCGTATTATTAATTAGTGGATTTTGAAAGCGTTGAGTATTTTCTTTTTAAGCCGGAAGAACGACACAAAACTATAGTTTTCCACTTTGACTTTACATTCTCGCTAAGGTTTTATTATAAACTTGTTCATTCTCTTCTCTAACGACACTAAGTCTCGCGAAGAACATAATAAGAGAAGTTTACTGTCAGACTTACTCACTTTTCTTTATCTTTTCATTCTTTATTACAAAGCCGCCGGTAAAGATCCGATAAGTTTATTACTCCTTATTGTAATATTTTCTTGAAAAAAATTTTTTTTCTTTTAAAAAAAAAGAAGAAAAAAGTTCTATACATATTGTTTAATTAAAAGATCTGCAATTTTTTTCGTTGCGAGAGAAAAACGATTATGTACATAAGAGCTTTTTAGAAGCTTTAGAGAGAAATAAAGAGAGAGGAAGAGAGAGAGAGAGATTCTAACAAATTTTCTTCGTTAAAATCTTTTGTTTTAAATTTTCAAAGCTTTTTAGACATAGGATAAGTGCGGAACTTAATTAAAAAATGTTAAATAATTTAAAAATTAGTTCTTGATGTTTTTTTTAACACCAACTATGTTTTGTCATCAATTTGACTAGTAAAATTAATTAAACGTTGCTTTTTTTATTTCTATTTTTTAAATTAATATTTAATAAATATGTGATTCTCCTGAGAGTGCGGCAACTTCAAGTGTCTCCAACTTGTGTTTTATTAATTACATTAATTTTTTTATTATGACATTCTCTTGAGCT